GAAAATGAAAAACGGCCTGATCAGCTGCCCGGTGGCCGAGTGGGTAGCATGCTTGCGTTCTGCCCGTGAGCTCCCGGATTCCATCCCCATTCGGGTCGATGGATTCGCACTGATGATCAGATCTAACCAGGTTGAAAGAGCTGTCCAGAGCCTCCTAGCTTTTCAGTTCACGGTTCATTCGCCATATACACGACGAATTTTCTCCTTTGAAATTGAATCAAGTCCTCCATTACTCACATGATATTATTATTATTTCAACACGAAACCAATTACAAAGAACTGGCAAATTTGCCACAACATGTGAACAGAAAGAAATCTGAAGAATGTGTTCATCGGTTGTGTGGGCATGTTACTTCCCGGTTGCCCTGGCCGAGAAAGGAGGATAACCTCGGGGTCCCCACCCGAAGCACTTGACTGGAAAGCCTGACCTGCAAGACAACAGGACGGCAACCAGAGTCCGCAATCCATTAGGGTCCGGTGTCCGGTTCACTGGATCATAAGCCCTTTGAACGAGGTCAAACATCCAAGGTGCCCAATACACCTCGATGCCCAGTCGAGCCGGTGACCACTGCCGCGACGAGCAAGGTGTGCGTGTGGTTCGTAAGCCTCATCTTGGTTGGTTTGGAATCAGGGTTTTTAGCCAACTCCCTTAGGTGAACTGCCAGTGGTTCACCAACCCAGTTGTAGCCCCGGATGTCGGCTTTTCGTCCTCTCGCTTTGGTGGGAAAACACCTCCGCCACGGGAAGGCAGTGAGTAAGGTTTCCTCAGAAGAGGCTGTTTGAGACTCACATGATATATATATATATATATGTATATATCAAAGCAGGAAGGAAGAGGAGAAGTTCCATGTGATCACGTGACAAGGTGCACTCCCAAATGAAACTTGTGATGAGAATCCAATCACGGACTGTATTGGCCAATAGCTGATTGTATGTGTTTGAACAGCACAGCAATTCAAACCAATTACTAGTTACGCTACCGGAAAACTGGGTAAAACCAGCTCGCCAACCAATCATCCTCTTCAATGGTTCTTTGCATTGCACTCGGTTTCAGCTCCATGAGCAAAGCAGAACATGAAATGTTTGTATTTTTTGTCCCAAGAACTTTGTCCTTTGTTTATTGTAAACACCCCGATCTGCAATTTAAAAATTTACGCAATGATAGGCTGACTGATTCTCTCCAAGGCTGATCATCTAGCGTTGATTGTGATTGCTGAGCCGGTTCGAGCTTATTACATGCATTGCGCAGATACACACACACCTAAATCACATCAAACGCTCCTGAATTGCTTCTGCCACTCTGATTGGTCTGTGATTAACGTTTTGTGACATCTATTTCTCGCCGGTATGTGTTTGTGCCATCGATCGAACTTTGCTTCCGCATCCGTCGCCACGCCTCAATCGCCCCCAATAAATCCAACTGTCATCAGCACGTGCGTTTGGTGAGGTCCGTTTCATTCGTGTGGTCTCACAGACGATACGCATGCAAACACACAAAGACGAGCATCGCTAATTAGGAACCAATCCAACAATTTAATGAGCGCGACCACACGTCATATAGGTCATATAGGTGCGTGTTTTTCTCCGATACCTCCCCTTCATGAACGGGTGGGGGCGCGTAGGTTGTTCGAATTCCACTCGAGAGTCCACGATTTGGCGATTGACCGTGAAAAACTGCGAACCAGGACACAATGCCCGTGAAACTCAGGTGAGCCGTAGAACCGCCATTGTGAATACTCATTGGCTTGAGCCGCAGGTCAAATGAGTTAGGCGAACTTAACATACTTCATACGTATGAGTCATGCCCAAATCGATGAGATAGAAACACGAAGGTAAATGATTATTTGAATTATACTGAATAACCTCATACCACTCTGGTGTACGGAACTCGAACGGACTTAATGTGAAATTAGATTTTCGGAGAATAGATTTATCTACGATAAAAAGCGATAATAAATTATCATGGGGCCAATACAGAATCGATGTAACCGTATACGTGCATGGGGGTGAGTGTGATTACGCCATTTCAAACAGAGCAAAGTGAACATGAACCGAAAACCTGAAAAGCACTGTTCATCCGGTACATTCTTGCCGCACCTCCCTCCAAGCATGTATCTATAGGCGCCTACAGAAATCGAAATGAAGACCTCACAGATGAACCACACACGTGTGTCACCTGCTAAATCCCCACTGAACTGTAAATAACATGCGAGCCGGCTAGGTTGTCCGTTGATAACTGCCAGTCCTTGAGTCGGCAATTGCTTCACACACACACACACACACACACACACACACACACACACACACACGGGAGTAATTTAAGCTGTCTGCCAGTGGTGTTGTAGTGTTGAGCTACAGCCATTCGTACACAAGTGAAAAAATCAAACGATTGTCTGCAATGCTTCGGTACGGAAGAAACGCCACGCGCTTGATTCTTTTAGGGCGAATTCATCACTCATTCTGAAGATCAAAGTTGAAACCAGTATGACATGAATTCCGTTCCGGATAACAATCCTCTTGCTTCCTCCTATCAAGAGTGATGTGCTTCCTCCACAATTGGATAATTTGGCATTTTGTGATCCACCATAGAAGAAGCCCATTCTGTGTTACCAGTCTAGTGCCCCTAAACGATCTTTGTTTCCAGTGGCCATCTTCCGAAATGGCCGTGCGAAGGCAATGAATGCAATTCTGCGAGAGAACAATGAAGATCACAACGTTTAATTTCGACGACTTTTGTGTAAGAACGAAAGTTTCACTTAGTTCGATATCTACTGCTGACAACTTTCGGTCAATAGCCCTATCCAGATGAAACAGCCTGTCACGGAACACGGATCAACAAAGCACGGGTTGAGTTATCGTGTTCCTTCTCCGTGTATGTTTTTTCTCAGTTCTAGAATGATAGCAGTTTAGCCACATTAGTTCCACTGACTGTAACTCATCGGGATAACCAGACTTACTGTTCTGTGCATGTGAGTTCTCGGTGAATGAAACGTTTGGATGATCTCCAATCTACTACAATCATATATACCCCTGAGGATATACAATTTGTAGAAATAGTTGATCCGTAAATAATTCAGTACCTATAGTCACATACATATATAAAAATATATATCATTCGCATCACATTGCAGGAACCCTTCTAATGTGATAACTTTTATGATAGATCTGAAGAGATCGACCGACAAGAGACCAACCAATGAACTGACAAAAAGTGCTCACCTAATCTTGACTGAGCTAGTTAAGCAACGTTGTGGTCAAAATATGTAACTGTATCATCCGAATCGTAATTATTTAATGAAAACACTTTTGTTCCATTTGAATGACAGTGGCTCACGC